TTCTTCAACGGAAAGTTGGTTAATTTTTTTTATTAGGATTATTAATATTTGTATTAAGAGATATAGTTTATTTCATTGTAATTTTTTTCTCTTGAAAATATAAGATAAAATATCATTAATGATACTTCGCTTTTCAGAAGTTTTTGTTTTTGTATTCCTTTATGTTATTTATTGCTCATTTCACCGTTTTTAAGATATTGAAAAGTTTTGAGTGATTTTTTAAGGAAACAAAGTTCTTAAAAACCTTTATACCATTTGAGTTCTTAAGATTTTGCAAAGGTTAGTTGGTTAATTTATTTATTAGGATAATTAATATTTGTATTAAGGGATATTGCTTATTTCGTTGTAATTTTGTTATACATAATAGCTTTTTTTTTTTATGAAGTTGTTCTGCAGAGTAAAATTCTACAGAGTTTTTAAATTTAACGTTTGGTGTTTCCTTCAGCCATTTTTCCGGTACATTTAAAAGCCAGACGAAGGCTGGCAGCGGAGCTGCTAGTAATAAATATATCAGCATGTAGTAATTTGATCACTGATAGGACATATTAACCCACTGTTAAATACGACTAGGACAATATAGCTCACATAAAGAATTTATTCAAAAATTTTTTAAATCAGACATTAAAAATGTTAAATTACCACGTAATAAGAACAATTTCCTACTGAGTATGCCTTAAATATAATTCTACTTACCGTAAAATTAAAAAAAAATATACAAATCGAAATTTGAGTAGTCAGCGTGCTCAAAAACATGTATGCACCATCTGCAATCTAAAAGTATTGCCAGGTTTCTTTTGTCATATAGTTGTTCGCTAATTTGTTAAAAACACTGCAAATGTAAAAACCCATTTAAAAGTGGGTTTTATTTACCCATTAGGGCATGAAATCTAATCTCTGAGATGTATGTGCTCATTAGGACTGAAAGGATTAAATAAGAGAAAAATAAAAGGTACACTGTATTACAAGCACCCTCACAGTAAGAATTTTCATATTTTGAATTGCTTCACTATTTCTACCATTATGTTCTGTGCATGCACAAGAGATTACTAACATTTAAATTATGCAAAACAGCATCTTTATTTTGGCCTTTTGCCTGACTTGCTTTGAAATGTTGGATTTATTTAAAGTTTCTCTGTTCTACAGGTCCTTTTTCTTTACTGTATTTTCCATTTTCAAAAGCAGAAGAGCCTTTACTAGTGCCCTCTTTTCAAGAGTATATCCCTATTTGTTGCTGATGTTAGGCTTGCTCATTACACAGAATGCAAACATATCAGCTATGAAGTACTTCAATGTTTAAATGCAGTTTTTGAAATGTTGATAAACTTTTGACATATATCACACATTTAAAATTAACCCCTTAACTGCAGCGGGCGTATATATACGCCTTGCTCAGCCGATGCGTTAACTGCTCCGGGCGTATACATACGCCTTGCTCAGCCGATGCATGAACTGCCTCGGACGTATATATACGCCCTTCCAAAATACTATCATTTGCTTTGCTCTGCTACCCGTAAAATTATTTGCAAAGCTTTGGAATGCAATACCCCCAATGACCTTGACAAAGTATGCGAAGGAGGATACTATTTCAGAGAAGTGTGGGGAGAAATTGGAGAGAGGGGTGTATCTATAGCGGTGAAAGTAATGACTGCGCGATATTGGCTGGTGTTATTTGAGTAAAACGTATTTTTTTATTCTGTGTCCTCCGTTTTCGTTTACTTTTTGTAGTAGGTTCCAGGAATAAAGGAAGATATAACGGATGTTTCAAACCCATTTATCTTTTTGAATTATTTTTTGATGAACTGCTCGTGCTTCATATTGTTACTGAACCGTTTTATTAGAGAGTATATGAACCAACATCTTGCAGACCAGAAACCAAGAACAAAATCGTGGCATTCAACTAGTTCAGAAGAAATACATGTTTTTTTAGGCATACTGATTTCACAAGGTATAACACTGAAACCTTATATTACACTTTACTAGTCTAAAAATAAATTGATTGAAACTCCATTTTAGGGATCTTTTTTATTATAAAAACATCATTTTTTATTATACTTACATCTTTCTATTATACTTTTACTCAAAGCATTAAATTTTGTGCATTCATTTTTTTTTTTTCTTTTATTCTTTATTTTTTGCAAGTAAACCATTTTTAGAAAGTAAAACTTGCACTTATTTTCCCTCTAATAAAGTGCATAACTACACGCGCATGTGTGAAAAACAGTGGCACTGGGAAATGAATCTTGTACGTTTTCCGCAGCAGTTAAGGGGTTAATTAACCACATTAATTCAAAATTAATACTAAAAGAGAGCAGAATATGCACCTAAATGAATGGATACATCCAAAGCAAAAGTTGCTGAGACTCATGATCTTCATTTCTTATAAAAAGAGTGCTGGCATGAGTACAGAAAATACTAAATTATTTCAATAATACATTTCCCTCTTCTTCTTTCAATATGGTATAATGGATTTTTGCTAAAAATTTTACATAAATGAAAAAATACTGTTAAATTTACCATGCTGAATTATCTGAAAACTGAAATTCTCTGAAACTGAATGTTTATGTTAAAACTCAAACATGGATTACAGGCATTTGCAGATTATTGCATTTTCTGTTCTAACTTCCAATAAATTTTTCATACAATTGTATGGTGCATTACTATAATTTTGCACAAAGCTTTATTTGGATCATAATCAATGTTCAATGTGATAATATTTACAGAAGAAGTTAAAAGATTTTGATAAAATTTAGTGCATGATCTGAGAAGGCAGTCAGCCTGAAGGGAACACTGCTTCCACTTGTCAACAGCAAGCAGTAAAACATGCTTCTAATGTTAATTTTTATGCTTTCATTTCTTAACTTCATGTATTACCCATTGTGTGGCTCTGATGTTAATGATACTGGTGATAGAAACTAGTATGTTATGTGTTGTTTGGTGTATATAAATTCCTTTAAATAATAAGCAGAATTATTATTTTCCATAGAGGCTTTATAAACAGCAGGCCTACCAGTGGCCAAATGGTAAAGTCGCTGAACACTGGTAGTTGTTCGGTTCGGGGTTCGAAACCCAGTGAATGGGCTGGCTGCATGGGTGTTTTCATGGTTTTCCCCGTGTGTAACATGTTAATATAAGCCAGCTTCCCTTAGAAAGTCCTCTTCTGTGTAGTGACTGGGCGTTTTCCTCATATGTAACATGTTAATATGAGCCAGTTTCCGTTAGAAAATCCTCCATGAAGGCGTTCCTGCCTTCTGTGTAGTGCCTTAGGGCAGAACACGTAAATGATAATAATAAATATCTTTAATATTATAAAAGTGCAATACTCATCCAAAAAAGAAAAATTATTAAAAATGTTAGTTTAATTGTACATCTGAAAAAAATTTTAAAACAGGTCTTAATTTATGCCACAAGTGTGTAATAAAATTAAAGTTAGATGAATAAATTAAAGTTAAAATAAAGATTAATAAAATATAGTTCTGCAACTTAAAATTTCAAGATGATTCTAGTTTTTTTGGGGGGGAGGTAGGGGAGGCACACTCTTACTACTTATAGTGTTACGATTATTTTAATAAAATTCTCTACTTTAAAATGTTGATGATTAAAAATGATAACAGCCTTATTTGTAACAAATATGCTTTTTAAAACTGCATATGTTTCATACTTTTTAAGTGGAAAAATGTGTTCAAAGATGTATCATCATCTTAGCATAAAAAATTCCTTAATGTGAAACAAAATAAAGAGATATAAAACTTACAATTAAAACAATTTTATTTCTTTTTTAAGCTCTAGGCTCTTTCATGTAAGTACTGTTATTACATAATTACATATTTTTAATATGAGCAATGAAATGAAACATTTTTTAAAAACTGATTGTTAAACAGTAATTATTACATTTATATACTACATAAAAAAATCTGATGCTTATTTCTTTCCATTAAATACTAAATTTAGTATTACAATAGTGTACTAGGGCATACAAGTGCTTGGACCCATTTACATACAAACTGTTCCAGTCTCACAATAAATTAAATGCCCAACCAACAAATTCTTTAGTTTCAAAATGACACAGAGTTTAAAAAAATCAAACAACATTTTACACAACTTTGTTGTGATATTTTGAACATTTCAGTCACATTTGTGGAAATAAATCTTACACTGGCAAAATTATAACACAAGAGTTATATAAAATGTGCAGTGCCTAAGATTAAAACATCTGAAAGTACTATAAAAAATTTTTGTGTGCAATACATGTCAGCATGTAGAAATGGTTTTCTTACACACACAATTTTAGAGTTTTTATAGTAGTAAAAAAAAAGGGGGGCAAATACAATCTCATTTCCAGATGTTAAACATTTCATTGAATAATTAATAATGTAAAATCTTTTATCATTCAAAATGAGCAGGTACAAAAAGATATTTGTTATAGCTTCTAAAATGCTTGAAAGTTTAAATGAAAGAATTACTATATTTTCTCATTAAAAATTTGTCCTGACTTAAGCAATAAAACAGTGATCAGTTAACAGGGATAAAAGATGATTTTTTAGACAGGAATGATAATTATAAATTTATAGCAAATGTAAAAGGATATACTAAGTTTGTATTTATTATACTGGTATGGAAAGGCTGTCATACTTGAAATAAATTAAAATTTAAAATATACATGACATTTTAGATAATATAAAATATAATACTCATTTTGTTTTATTTGTCATGTTTAAAATATCATATTCACATATAATTTAAAATTGAAATCAAACACAATATATTAAAAAGACAGTTGCATATAATAAATTTATTTTCTAATAAATTTTTCTAGCAATTGAGATAAAGGAAAGCACAAAATATATTGATATTTAGTATTGATAATTTAACTGGCAATTAACCCTTTCAAGACAGGCATCCCATATATGCATTCCCTACAAAGCTCTGACAGCTGGGTGTCCCACCCATAAACCACAGCAGAGTGAGCTTAAGGGGACATGTGATGCATTTAAGTTGAGCCATTTTTTTAAAGACCACTAGATGGTGCCGTTTTGAAGTGAACACAGCTTTTAGGATCTTGACCTTCAATTTGATCACATTCTGACTAACTTTGGTGTCAGACAGTAGAGTAGCAAGCATAACCGGTCCCCCCCCCAGAAAAAACACAGTGATAAGGTGAAAATCTTGTTTTCCGGGCCCTTCTGCGAGCGGCGTCATACACCCCTTGCCCCCCTCGCTATGCCAACTCGTGTCAGATGTTGTAGGGAGAGTAATATAAACAGAGTTTGACTCCTTCTGAATCCAAGAGCAGAGTGGCACACTGGAAATGTGCTGGGCCCATAACCCAGAGGTCCATAAATCCTTCTTTTCACTTCTGTGTAGGGTCTGTTAGGGTTATTACGTGGGTTCTGTTATGCTTTGCTTGCTTTTTTAATCCCTCACATTTTTCGTGCTTCCCTTTTTATTTCAGAAAACACTGAATTGAGTTCATTATGGGATTTATTATGAGCAAGCATTATTTATCAGAGGAAGGATATACTCACATGGTGAGTGAGCCAATTAGTGACATAGATGAGAGTCCCTAGAGCACGATATTTCTAGTGATCTTGATGTGGACATTTTGTATGAACTGAGCTCACTGTGATGCCTTCCATTTCCTATGAATGATTTGTTACTTCTTATAAATACTCTTTATATTTCTTATTAGTTTTGAAGTTAATTAATATATTCTGTCAATTAAAACTTCAGAATATTTTGGATAACACTTTTGAAAATTATTTATCAAAATAAGCAATTTTTTATATATTTTCATGTAAAAAAAAAATAAATATTAAAAGCTAATTTTGACTTATATGATAGCTAAAGTAACAATCTAAAACAGTACCAAAATTATGAGGTTACAACTTTTTAAAAAAGAAAAATTTCCCCTTTCTGTTTCTAAATTTAGGAACTCCCCAATCCTGCAGACAATTCCTTTCAACCCCCATCCTCCACAAGGTAATGTCTTAAATAAGGTGCAGTGTCTCGAAAGAGTTAATGATAACAACTAAGGTTATTAAGCTTATACTAATTTTTACAATATAACTAAGAGTGGTAAATAGAAGAGAAGCATGGTAAACTGAAAGGACTTTGTATTCTCCAGAAAGTCAGTTTCACCTAAACTGCTTACAGTATATCTCTAAAACATTTTTACTTGCGACCGAATTTGTCTTACTAAGAAATTTTGATGTTTTCAAACACATTTGTTCGAATTTCATTTTTTTTAGTTCAACTGTATTTTGCTGTTTAGATAGTTATAAACAGAATGCTTGTAAATATGAAATAAAATCCGTCTTTACTCCATTAACATATTAAAAGTTTTAAAATTACTACATTTTCAGCTGTTTGAAAAGCAACATTATCTTAATAGATAAAGATAATTTACATGATTGTATATTAATTGATCAACATCTAAACTGCAAGTGAATTTAAAATAATTTTTTTTTATAAAATGAAACAAAATATTTTATTTAAAAGTTTATTCTGCAAGCAAATTTTCTCTTCAATTGTATATTTTATAACAGAAACTGCCCAGTTTTACAATTAAGTTATATATATATATATATTTAATCCATTTTGAAAAGCAGAAACGAAAACTGGTATTCTTATTTTAAGTCGACTAAAATAAAAAAATATTTTATATTCTTTAATACATAATAACTAATTACATAATAACTAATTTAATAATATTCAAGCCTGCATGAAAAGAAACATCAATGCAACACAAAATCTATAATAATAAAACAGACTAATAATTTTCCAAAATGATTTTATATTTAATCACAAAATTACACTTCCCAACATGCTCATTAAATTCCAGTTCATGAATTACAGTGTGATGTGTAGCTTTCTAAAAAAAATTAATTACAAGATGATTAATTTCTAAAACAAACAAAATAAAAAGAAAATAAACATTTCAAACTTTGGAATTTGCAGTAGAACTTTTTTTGGCATTAAAGACTTTAAATTGTGTTTGTATATTTACAAGTGCTTTAAACTACATGCAAATTTTTATCAAGTATTATATCAGCATGTCAACTTAAATATTATTTTAATGGAATGTTCAAAACCAATCTAAAGCACTTGCATAAATATGCAAACTATTGTAAAGTTATTTTGGTGCAGGAAATGAATTACAATGAAGTTTTAAATGTGTACAGAGATTAAGGAATATTGAACAAATTTTCAATTTTTACCACAACAAATATATATATATGTATGAATATAAGCTATAAAATACATTTATTACAAGTGGCTTACTGAGGAGTGAAAAAAGATTCTGTTCAAATCACACACATTCAACAAAATTGAGCTGGCCTATTGCACACTACTTCCTCATAGCTATTTTATTCTCTGAATATATATATAGATATACCTTTATTATTATACAATTTCAATATATTAAATCTGGCATGTGTACTTTTGCTTACATATGTATTGTACATAAACCTTGCAAGGCTGATACCATTAATGAGATTACTAAATATTATGTACAGAAGACTATATTACATTATTCTTACTTACATGTGAATCCCTATGTACACTGAAAATATTTATAACCTCGAATAATAAAGCTATGTGACACATGCGAGTGTGATCAATCCCTTGTTTACAGTACTCACCGAAGATCTCACTTGATTTGTCGTATGCATATTGTAGCAAAAGTTGTGAACTCATCTAACTCTCTTAACAACATGTTTGCCATGAAGTGTTGCCTTAATTCTGATAATAAAGCACTGCACAATTTTAAGTATCCCCTCCATCATATGGCTTTCGGATATTACTCTTGCCAGTGTGTTTGCCTTTTTTACCAAACAGTCCACCAAGGAATCCCGCCTGGGCAGGCTGTGGTTTTGATCCACCAGTTGCCGAATCTGGGCCACTTCGTGTACTGCCAAGACTGGATCCAGATCCGGACGACGTCGAACCGGCATGAACAATCTGAGGAGAAGAATCATGACTCACGCTACTGGCTGCAGAAGACTGGAAAGATATTGACTGGAATTAAAAGAAATGCAAATAATTAAAACAGCAGATCACATGTTTTAAAAATAAATTTCATATGCTATGCATTCATTCTTAAAAAGAATGCTTGATATTATTAAAAAAAATTAGATTATTTAAGATCAGCATAAAAGTGGTGAATTTTTTAAGACTTGATTTGAGGATAAAGTATTTAACAACATATGAGGTGATTAACCTTTAACTGGTATTGTATGGTCTCAAAATCCCAATAATACTTTTTAACTTAATTTTTGTTTTCTTGGAGAATATATAATGTGTATCTTCTGTAATTACTTTTGTGTAATTATTAATAACTGTAAATAACAAACAAATGGAATTAAAATCAAATTATTCACATTTTCTATAAATAATTATATTGGAAGTGATCACAAAGTACAAGATTTTATTTATGAGCCTGTACGATCCTTGTACGATGCAAACTTTTTAGCATACTAGTTACAGTTATACTCATCAACAACAGGTAATTATTAAACTAACACTATAAATTATGAAGAAAATCAGTTTCCCAAATCATCATCATCATTGGAATAATGCAACTGCAAGCTGCAAAATGTGTTATAATTATTTTAAAAGCAATTTTACAGGAAAACATATTAAGCTCAAAGGTAGACCCGCTATAGTCAGGTAAATGTGTTTTCCCATGTTCTCCTAACAAAAAGAAAGGGTTAGAGTTGACTTTAGGATACCCCTCGTATTAGCGCGAAATTGTTTCATTTATCGCCAAGCTGTTGTCTCATTTATGACAACCTGAATAGTTGAAGCCTATGGAAACCCTATTATGACGTAATTGGTTGCAGCGAATTTGAATCATGGGAAAAAAATTTGGAAAGTGTGTGTCAGATTTGGGGTAAGGGCTTGTGTGTGATGGATTAGTACGTTGTTATTGTGATTTACATGGCAAATAAGCTGAATGTGGTAAGATAAATTTGAAGTTTCTGTAGGATTTGGAAGGAAAGGGAAAAAAAGCATTAATTGACTGGTGTGTAAATCAATGTAGTAGCTATTATTGTGTGTCCGGTTTGGAGGAAGGGAATGCGTATGGTCGAACATCGGATATTTTCGAATGGAGGATATTTTTTACTCTTATTTTGTGAATTTATGTGGCGACACCAGTATACAGATTCTAGTTCAGATAGTTTGGATGCTGTTAAGGAATTTTGTTTGACTGAAGACGCGTAAATTCGTAAATAAGGTGAGTGGATATTTCCTTCGAGTAGTGTTAAGATGAATTTCCCTTTTTATGTTCCCCTTTTTACATTGTTTGATTTAAAATGTAGTTTTTATTCAGATTATATATTTTTTGTTGGCTGCTCCTTTGACTTTTTAAGTGAATATTGTGTACATGGACAAAGTCAAGGGAGTGTGCAAACCCTAGTTTGTACAATTCTCTGATGTTTTTTTAAGTGAAAATAGGTTGATGTGTACATGGATACCGAGTTTGTGCAATTCTTTGTCTTGTTATTTTGGCTTTGTGTAGAGGCGATTTTTGGCCCAAAATAACAAGTCAAAGAATTGCACTAACTCGGTATCCATGTACACATCAACCTATTTTCACTTGAAAAAAATCCAAGAATTGCACAAACTTGCATTGCGCACTGCCTTCACTTTGTCCATGTACACATCGATATATTTTCACTTAAAAAGTCACAGGAGAACAACAAAAAATACATAATCTCAATAAACTACATTTTAAGCCAAACAATAAAATAACATAAAAAAGGAAAAACATGTTATACATTTAAGCACTACAGAAAGCAAATATCCTATTCCTTAACAGCATCCAAAGACTTCCTAAAATTATCTGAACTCAAATCCGTATATCGACATCGCCACATCTGAACCTTTCTTCCTACAAACCCGTTCAAATCCATCTAAACGTTTTTAAGTTCGACTAGATGCATATCCTTCCTACATACAAGACACCACTAAGTAAACCTTCATTTACACACCAGTCAATTAACACTCTTTTCCCCTTTCGTTCCAAATCATACAGAAAGTTCAAATTAATCTTACTACATTCAGCCATTCTACCATCTAAACAACACACACCACAAAAGCGCTTACAAAACATCCCATAATCATACACTCAATTACGTCACTATAAGGTTTCCATAACATTCAACTACTCAGGCTATAAATGAAACAACAACTTGGTGATAAATGAAACAACAGCTTACCTTAAATACCTTAAAGTCTACTCTAACCTGCACCTTTTCTGAAATGCTAAGTTAACTAATGAATGAAATCATTTTAAAAAGTGCAGCCCTTCACTAGCCTTCACAATGTGGCCCCAAGCACACCAACTGCTTTACAGGAATCAAAATTTAGCAAGAAAAGGGGGGTTGGGGGTCAATATTTATTTTTTTTTTCAATGTTAAGTTGTTTAATCTGTTCATTTTTTGTGTGTGTTAATATCTGTAATTTTACAGACATAATTTCTTGTTCAGTTACAAAATTTCACTGTTAAATTCCAGTAATTGCTGTGTCTAAAATTTTCACTACACTAATGATCAAAATCTTTACCATTCTCAAAAATTTCTTTGTAACTTTTATCACTATCAATAATATTTTTCTGATTTAAAACCATCCTATGGATTTCACCGTCCATTAACCGTTTCGGTCCCAGGGGAATATTAAAAAACACTGTCAAAGAATCCCAAACAGCGCTTTCTCAACAGCATGATCGCGCTGCTTGGGATTCAAACAGTTAAATGGACAAAACGGGATTAACAAAATGGGATTCAAACAGTTAAATGTTAGTACATTAGCATCGCAATGGGAAACTTCTGTTATCATCTTCATTTATTTATCACTTCTCAACATTCCCTTAATTGCAAAAATTTTGTCCTCTCTGCCATTCAAAATTTATGCCAAAATAAGGTTGCTGTTCTGCCAAATTTTGAAATTGCGTTTTCTTACATCCAAATTGTACCAGTTCTGTTTTCTTCAGCACCAGCGTCACATATACACAAAGAGCTCCAATTGATCTCTTCAGCACAGCGTTGTGTATACGTAACTTGAAAACGGAACCTTTTTTTTAAATGCCAGTAGATGGTGCTAGCTAATGGTAATGATTTTCACATCGGTTATGTGACCTTAATGCATGAGCATAAGTTTTTATTCTGTGCTTCTGGTTTTGATAGATTTATTGGTGTAAACAAACTGAGAATCACAGCTCTTTAAGTTAAAGGACACAGGCATGTTTATTTTGTTAGGAATTCTGTATTTTTGTTGTCTTCATTTTAATTCTTTGCGTTTTTTGTTATTAGAACGTGAGGAAATGCATCTAGGTCAATCTTTTCTTTCTTTTTGTTAGAAGAACGTGAGAAAACACATTTTCCTGACTATAGCAGTTGTCCTTTTATATATTTAGTTTAACACATAACATAGAATTTCTTGATTAATTGAAAAGTAACTAACTTTACAGTATAATTACAGAAGGGAAAGATATCAGCTTTCCCAATGCATGATGTATCTCATTTACTTGGCGAAAAAAGCCATCATTGTCCTGTGTGTCGATTCTCGTTTTGAATTATTCCATGCATAACAAATTGGAATTTAATTGCTTAATTTTCTTTTACAATTTGTATTTGTAATTTTGTTTTCGTACATTATTACATCGTTTCGTACATAAGTTATTTTTGTACTTCACATGTTTCATTTATTTTTATTATTGTGATATTCTTTATATTAATACATATTAATAATTAGTATATTAAGTACGTAACTTCAGAAATTGAAGTCATTATATTAAAATGCTGATTTTATATGAATTTTACTGCTGAAAATGTGTGGGCTGGTCGCGACATTCCATTTCCGGGTGTTCGGCCCCGTGGCTGCGCTTTGTTCCTCGCGCTGGTACTCAAGGGGTTATAAAGTCTTTTTCACATTATCAAAACTTCAAGCTTTAATTTTTATTAGTTAGTTGTAATAAACTGTATAATAATAGCTGTAATAATGACCATAAAAATAATAACAAATTGAATCAAATTATTTAAGGAAAATGCAGTCTGTTACATTAACTGAATTTCTTCTGAATCTTTCTCTCTTCCTACTGTTATGAGAACAAAAGAAAACCAAAATTAGCAACATTTCACTCCAAGTAAATGTGTCTTGGGGCTTCATTTATCATGTCAGTCAGACTGAAAAATACTACACTCCCACCACCACAACCACTCGACAGCCAAATGTGTGGTCGCAGTTAACATCAATCAATTTACTGTCGTAGGCCACAGTGAGTATTAAATTCTCCATTCCTATAATTATGTGTAAAAACAAAATTGTGTTTTGTAATGTACATTATAATTTGGTTTAGATTTTATTTCTTTTTACCTCAGTGTTAACTACCATATTCTCATATGTACATGTATATAAGCCATACTTTAATAATAATTACCTCAAATAAAAATAAATATTCCCTTTTTATTTATTTTATTTTAAGAATATTTATATTGTTTGTGCACTACATAGTATTATGCAAGGCTTATAGAGGTAAGTAAAGAATGCTATTTTATCTTGCATCCTCTTATATGGGGAGAAGGGGAGGAAACTGAGAGAAAAATTTTAATGATCTTTTTCTTCCCTTCTGGAAGCTCTGAACAGTAGATCATACATTCAACATTTTGCACTTCCCCAAAGCTACAGGAACACAAGGTCATCTGTATAAGACAGCCAAAATCTCTTCTGATAGAGATTTCTGCCTGTAGCATCAGCAGAGTGCAAGAAGTTTCACATTTGTTCTACTGTTCCAGCCTTATGTAAGGACTTGCAAAATCAGAAAACAGTTTATTAAATGATTATGAGTGAATTCAGTGCCGCAGGTAACAAAAAATATATTTCTCAAAATATATTTGTGATCCCTGAAATGCAACAATGTAGCCGCCTCCAGGACATGATATTTATGCAGGATGGTGCACCTCCCCATATTCTTCGCGGCGTTCAACAGGTGTTACGGGCAACTTTTACCAATGCGCGTGTGATCAGCCTCTGTTTCTCTACAGCTTGGCCGCCCCACTCGCCTGATCTCACGCCATGCGACTCTTGGTTATGGGGATTCTAAAAAAAATCGGGTCTACAGAGAACACCCAGCAACCTTGGCAAATCTGAAAGACGCAATTATTCGACATGTTCGTGGAATGTTCCGCTGTGGAACACACTGCTTTGCGAAGGGAAAGAGTTGTGGAGAACCACGGCACACATATAGAACATCTGTAGAATGTCTTGTTGATCTGCAGCGCCACCTATCGGCAACTTTTTGTACTAATTTTTTTGCTTAATAAATCTTGAGGGCATGATCTGAAGTGTCTGTTTTTAAAATTTCATCACATTATGACCCATACAACACTCTGCACAGGCCTCTGAGTTGAGGAAGTTTAATTTGGATAACCCTGTATATTTCAGTTAATTCTGAATATTCGGATAACAATATATATAAGGCACATGTATCACATGGCCATTTGTTTCATACGAACAACTATTTCGGACAATTTTTCTGCCTGGTGTACTATTAAAAAGAAAGATGCGTGATTTTTTCCTTCCTTTTGAAAAAAATTGCAAGTTGTTCGTTTTCAACCAATCACCTATCAGCTTCGAATGCAATCAGCTTGTTTGTAATGGAGAACCAGTTTTCCCTGTGTTAACCCCAAAGCGATCTGTGGTGATTGGGGCTGCTGTGACAAAGCAGAATAATTGTTCCAAACAGTTGTTCTTTCAAAACAAACTGATGTGTGGTAGCACAAACTGATGTGCTACCACACATGAGTTTATAAATAATGCTGGGAAATAATGCAGAAATTTCAACACAATAATATGTTAGACTAGAAAATTTAATTTGAGAAGATGAGACAAATTTATTAAGTTCATTCCTAAAATTAATGTAGCTTTTGGTGAATTGTCATATACCTACCTACCTTGGCAGCAAATAGTTTAAACATACAAGAATAAAGGTAAATATCACATATTATATTTCAAAATATCATTACCATGAAAAAGTAATATACAACCTGTTATGTACTTAAATTTTTTACTACTTTATTTCAATCAAAGTTTCACACATATACACTTTGTGAATATATATGTTGTATACTCCCCCCCTCTCTATATATATGCATTTGCTATGCATAATTATTAGAAAATTGAAAGTGCCTAATCAAAATTTTATACATAGATAGTTGGATCACAAGTTACAAAATGTTTAACTCAATGTAAAATATAGATTTAAAATTCTTGAATGATGAAATGCATGGCAAAGTCAAACACAGAATGAAATTCTGTTCATCAATAAACTAATTCTAATTATCTTAATTACAGGTCATTTTCATTTATTATTAATTACACTGTTACTGTTTAAAAATAAAGGTCGCATTTTTAGAAAATTTTCTTCCAAGTGCACAATATGCTGTTTTAATTATCTGTAGTGTTTGCATTGACAATATTATTAATTTTAAAAAACAGCAATTTTAAGTTAATGCTTTTATTTTAATGAGGGCTATGTAAGAAAACTAAAGACAAATAGGTGAGACTTGGAAATTTAAATAATTACTTACCATTCCACTATCCAAAGAGCCAGCACTACCTCTTCGGACTGGTTTACTTATTTCTAGGGGAGAAAAACATTTAAAAAATTAACATTTTAAGAAATACAAAATTTCATAATACAGATAACTGTAACTCTTAATTATACCATGGAGTGGAATAATAAAACTGGTAAAAATCAATTTTATTTTCAGAAGTCAGATTTTTATTAATGTTATTTTCAGATTCACATTGTTAATAATTGCAATGTTATTTAGTTTATTTTTTAAAGTGAGGGAGTATTCATGTATGCTATAAAGATTTGAAATTGCATATTTGAAATATACAAAATTATTTTAACACATAATCATTTATTGATATATAAAAAAGAGCTTTTGCTTTATTTAAGCTTAAAATAATTTAAAATATGCCACAAAAGAGCATGGATATGTTCTATACATATTTAATTTTACTGAAAGTGCTGCAAGGGATATTTAAAGTAACCTACGTTGTTCATGAAGATCAAGCAGCGAATTAGATAAAGCTGAGCGTTTCAAATTATTTGCAGCTGCAGCACTCTCTGGTGACAGTTTACCATCCTTTGAGGTTTGTGGGATAATTTCCATATCTGCAACACCAGAATCACGATTTTCAGCTCCTCTCACCCGTATCATTTTCTGTTTTTCAAGCTCACCTTCTATGCGTAGATTTTCCATTTCATCCATCTGTAATTAAATCATAAATATTTATTACGGTACATCATAAATTTATAATAAAAATAAGGAAATTAATATCAAAGTAACATTTTTTAAAACTATATGTAGATAATAAGCTTCAGATATCATCATAAAATTTTACTTCATGTTCTTGAGCTTAGATATCTACTCAGTAAGAAAAAGCACTAGATTTCACTCAAATCTACAAAATGTTGCATAACAAATATCTAAAGTATTTCCTAATAGCATACAAAAAAAAAAAAAAATCAGCTAATACTAATTTTGTCTATATGTAAATAATTTTAGTGAAATTATATGTAAAACTAATATCTCTTGTACAATGTAACATAACATAAAGGGCCTCAAGAGTGTGAAGCTTCGCCGAAAGATCCAAGTTTACTGGGGCAAGTCCGTTTAACACCGAGGTAAATGGCTATCTCATCAATTTGTCAAGGTTTTGGCAACTAATTTTTGTTGGCAAATTTGGCAAGAAGTCACCTAAAGTTGCTAAACTTGAAGATCATTTGGTTCAATCCCAATTATAACTACAATTGGTTTGATCCCTATATGTAACTGCAACTGTATTTACCTTCCAGCGATTTTAACAAATCAAAGGTACTGGAAATTACTCGGCAGCCTGAGGAAAAATTGCACAAGACTGGAGAAAGCATCAGTTTTCAGTTTTGTTCAAAATTTAGTGCAGAGTATCGAAAGATCACTATGCAAGCTATACACACTGAGACTTTTTATACTGTTCTGTGTTTAACATTCTTAGTAGTTTATAATGGTTATCCTCTCAGTATGACAAAGTTCTGTCATACTGCTCCAGCTTCATACTTCTTCAGTATGTCAGAGCTTTGTGCTCTGTCATACTGAGAAAAGCTGTACTAGTATGTTTGTGAAAAGTTCCAGAACTGTAAAGTGTTTCATTTGGGGAAAATAAATTTTATCAAGCTATCATCAGTTCTCTGTGTATTCAGTCCATTATGAACCCTTATGCATGTAACATATATACAAAGTATTTTTTAATCAATTCATGTTCTATACACACGCACTGGTATAAAACTTTGGACATCAAGAAACAGTTGCCAGAATAAAATGACATATATATATATATATGAGTACAGTGATGTAAGTAAGTGATTAGAAAATCAAGAAAAGAGATCATTAATTACAAGAAAAACTACAAATGAATGGAGATTCTAGTATCCAGTTGGGGCATCTCTAGCATGAATACATGATGCAACATGGCCAGATACTGAGGGATACAGATGCCATACAGTGTCCTGTATCTCATCCTACAGTTCATGTAAGTACATCTCTAGTTTGAAAAAATTCCTACACTATCCATCTAACCACAAAACATGCTCAATAGGTAACAAATCTGAATCTGGCAGGTCTTGTAAGGGTGCTTGTGGCAAAAGCATTCCTATTACACCTTTTCTGTGTGTGGATGAGCATTGTCCTGCTAAAAAAATGCCTCCTTCAAGTCCTGGCATGACTGGTAGCACATAGGGCTGAATGATGTCACAGAGGCGTGAATCAATGTGATTAGGTACAGTTTGCAATGGCATCCCACACCATCACACCACTTTGGGTACTGTGTTATTGTAAAGAGAAGGCAAGATTGAGACATTTACTAAGTAGCCTCTACAAATGTAATAATTATCATCACCCAAAATGAATCCCAATTCTTCATTGCAGGTGACCTGGTACCATTAAGTTGCAATCCAATCCACCTCTTCAAGCAGAAATGACAGTAGGTGGATGTCATTGGCAGCACACTTAATGGCTGCTGGAACAATGACATGGACAGACACTATACTGAAAGTATTGCCTGTGTCTGCATGTCATATGAAAGTTCTCTCAGCTACTGGTCTGCAGCATCTTTCTTTTGTCCACTGTGCCCAAAAGAGTGTGTGTCCACTGTGTTCTTTTGTCCACTGTTCCTTACAGTAAAATCAGAATGGCCTAGGTAGCAGACTTCTTGCCAAGCTGACCACAGCAATTAAATTTTTGGTTTGCAGCATCCACAAATTAACCAGAGAGTACTCTTGCTATGAGAATTAATCGTAAAAAAGTTCTTAAGCTTAAGAGGAAGGATACTTTCATTCATGAAAGACACTCTACAGAAATCCAAATCATACTTATGTTAGATAAGTAGAAAACTATGAAAATGTCATGCAGTCAGCTTGCTGAGTTACTAAAAACTACTAATGTTCAATACATTAACCACCTGGTCACTGGTAATTGCAAGAGAATTAAAGCCAAAAAGTCTTTTTTTCATTTATAACATCATTAGATATTTTGTCTATTTCTAATATTCTAAAAGCTTACCTCTAATATAGACTCTTTTAAATCTTCTACAAACTTTGACCTATCATGCTCATTTCGTGCATTAAATGTAATCAAAACCTTGTCATCAACTCTCTGGCTGAGCCTAATGCCATGGGGATAATCTGAAAGTATTTTTTAAAAAATATAAATAATAATATATTTTAAATCTGAAAGTGTGAAAAAAATTGTAAATAATAATATATTTTACAAGGATATCTATTTCAATGTTTCTTTAGTAGGAGGACTTCAGAGAATGATATAAATTATTTATGTTAATTTTTTTAACAATGGAAGAATGCACACAGCATGCATCAATTGTGATAAAAAATACATTGCTCATCTACTATAAAACATAAAAAATTAATTACATTGTTTTATTTACTGCAGAAAGAAATCAATCATTTCAGAACAATTACAATGATTTCAAAGCCTGAAAAAACTATTCATTTCATTTACACATAAAATTGTGGGAAACTGTAAAGTGTTTTATATCTGTTTTCAAGTATTAATAAAATTCTGAAAAAAATTACCAATGACAGGATATTTTAAAATGTGTTTCTCTCCCCCCCCCTTTAAAAAAAAAACAAGAAAAGATGAAACTCGCAAAGGAAAATATTTGGCAAGCAGCTGGAAGTATGAAATATAACTTAAATTTTGGAAGTTTAATCTCAACTTGAAATACTCTATTTACACAGCAATTTTATTTCTATACAAAGATTGATTTTTAAAATTTCAAAATAAAAATAAGCTAGGCAAAATTACTAATGAATCAAATTAGCTATTTTGAATTCTACTTTATGTCTGTAATTTATTTTTTGACATCCAAGCTGTGCTGTAATGAAGTGTTAAAAACCCAACAGCTAAGAATTGGTAGAGTTTAGTTATTATGCATATTTATAATAAATCTTTTATATAACCTTACCAAATTTAGACAGCGAAAATTAGATTAGTGACATTTTATTTTAGTTTTACAAATAGCTTTATGTTGATTTTAAGCCTCATTTTGTCTTGTACTTGTTCAGTCCAGAGGTTTATGCAGATTTTCAATCAAACGACTAAAATGACAGGGAAAATCATAATCAGCATGATCCTTAACAGAATTATGCTACTGCTTGAGAGAGACCTAAGTAGAACAGACGAGAATACATTATGTTGACACAGTTGGTAAGCGTTGGTTAGTTATGCTTTTTCTTTCTTATCCAGTTTGTGTTGTAAATTCCTAGAGTACTTAGACTTGTAATCCAGTTGATTTATGTAAAGTTCCAATAAGCCACTGAAGCACTGGAACGAGAGGTGATAAGTTATTCTGTATTATTTTAAGTTTCACTACATGTAAGGAATAAAGTTTTATGTTAATTTTTACATTTTACTGCTGTGCCTTGCACTCAAAGCAAGGATTAAAGAAAGGTGATAACTCACCTTAACATGTAGAGATTAACTTCTAAAAGTAAGCAGTTAGTTACAAATAATTAAATTAGATAGTTAGATATCCTTAATTGTTAGAGACTCACATGGTAGTATCAACAATTTTTTTTAATTAAAATAATAATTTAAGAACATTTGATAATTTTGTCTGGTTTTGTAGGTCTATAAACCTTGCCTTCAAATTTAAGCCTTCCCAGGTGCAAGGTCTAAAATCTAAAATAAAAATACCCCTACCAACTGTGTAGAACCAAAAAGCCAGAAGATTGTTGAAAAGAAAACTTTAAAATGAATTTTATATAAAGAAAATTGATATATGTTTGAATATTCTGAAAGAAGTACATGAATATAAAAGAAGACTTGAAATTAAATTATTTTAAAGTAATTACAGTAGCTTTTTTATTTTTGACTTTGAAAGATGCCTACATTTCAATAAGAATACATGGTAATGTTAACATTACAATATCTAATAAAATATCTTCACTATCACCTGTTCTTATTGTTGTCTCTGCTACTCTTTTGGCTTCAAATAATTTATAAATAATTAGAGAAGACAAATGTGAAATGGTTCAGCGAAACTGTAGACTGATTGTCAGTTCATGTTTGCTTCGCTATGATTGGTCGATTTTTTATTAGGCTACCATGAAGTCCAACAGTCGGAACGAAAAGGTTCGGTGTAACCTTCACACATAAATTTTGAAGGTTTGTCTTTATTAGTAAAATTTAAATTATCTCTACATGGATGAATCCATTTTAAAATTCAGGGCAGCTCATTCTCTGAATGAATTGAGAAAGAGGAAAATTATGCAAATATTTTTTAAATTTTCAGAATGTGGCACTAAAAAAGCTTGGTTGAAAATACACGAGGAAATATGGTATAATTATTATTTTAATGATATTTATCAATCTTGTTATAGTTGGACAAAATTAAAAAATCATTGGAGAAATTGAGAAGTAGGAATGAAATCAAGCAATAACCCATCAAATACATATTTTTCAACAAATCACTAAAATGTTAATTTACATCCAAAATTGGCATTAGTGAAAAAAAGACAGGAAGTTAGATGAGTACAATTGAGGAACTCATAGCAGTTTTGGCCAAAATTAAGGATTTTTAAGGACCAAAAGTCATTTCCAAAAAGCTTAAGGACTTTTAAGTGCCATACAAACCCTAAAATCAGACACCCCATAATATTACCTTAGTATATTTATGTAGCAGATTATGTGCTTTAATGCATTTATAACACAGATATGCCCACACACAGCAGATAAGAGCCGGTTTTCACATTCGAGGATAAAGTTTTTAATTAGCGTTTGTTGCATTTGAGTACTTTTTTCCCTTACAAGGAACGTAATGGGACTGCAAAGTTTGCCAGCTGATGAAAAAGAAAATGTTGCATTCAGATATATGGCTTTTTGCAAAAATTCACATTCCATGACATTGTACTTTATAAACAATTGAATCTATGCAATTCTCAAATTTTTTTTAATAATGAAAACAGATCATTGTGTACATGAAGAAATGGCAGTGTGTGCAGCGTCAAGTTGTGCACGATGGATTTTATTTTTTTATTTTTTTTTTTTAAATTCTCTGAAGATTTTTGAAGCTAAAAGATATTTTATGTACATTTGAAGAACCCCAGGAGGGGGTTATGAATGTTTCTTGCATTTTTAATTTTGTTAATTGGATACAGTTTTATACAATTCTTAAAGCACCACAATTTTTTTTTTAAATGGCTAATGTCTTTCGCGACTTAGCTTGGCGAAAAATTAGTTGCCAACAGATGGTGACTTTTTGGAAAGTGGGTGTGGATAATCAGAAAATATCGATAAAAGCAATATAAAACTTACATGGAGCTTCAAATAAAGTGACGCTCATGCCACACAATGGGAAAGATTGCCTAAATGTATACGTGACACTGTTCTTTTTCTTACTGAATATTTTGGTAACCTGAAAGGGAAAGGTAATAAAATCAATTAAAATATACAATATAAATTTTGTATGAAGAAAGCTTAATAATCAGAATGCATATAAGAAAACCCACTGCTAAAATAAAAATAGACATGGATAATTAAAGAAATAATACTGCTTAAAAAATGTTAAGATTTAATGAATCAGCAAAATATATGTAAATATGCTTATGAAACATCTTTATTCATAAGGAATTTAGAGGCATCTTTAGGATAATTAATATACTTCAGCTAGTATATTTTCCCTTACCTAATATTAGCAACTTTATCAGTTTAAAACAAACAAACAAAAAAAAAAAAAAAAAAAAAAAAAAAAAAAAAAAAACTACTACTACTAAATTAATTAAAGAGGGAAAACTGCTTTTTAGATTATGAGAGTGCTGATAACTTACTTTAATAATGTAAAATTATTTCGCATAAGAAACTTGCTAATGAAAGTCAGACATAAACTAACTGATGACATGAAAGATGGAAAACAACAATGCTATTCAGATTTTAATTACATTCAGAAATAAGAAGACGAAATGCTATAAAAATTACTTAAAATACCCACAAATTAACTATATAAAATATTATAAAGTAAAAAAATTGCTGGCAGAGTAATTATATAATTTACCATGAAGCCCATAAAATATAACATACCATTAATAAATCATTAAATAGGAAAACTTCTCTTTGGTGAACACCGGGACGTTCTTTTTTGCTGACATCATATACTTCATACAAACGACAATAACAGACTAGACGCCTGTGAGGTAAGGCAAGGTTCTACAGAAAAATTATATATAATTATAAAAAATGAAAGTAAATGCAGATTTCTTTGTAAGTAATACTTAATTAATTTTGAAAGTATAACAGAAATTCCTTACTTAAAAAGATTGATAACACATAAAATGTTCATATAGTTTATGCAATCTAATACCGATACCTGAAGAAGGCTGATTACATTAAGTACATATTGAGCTAATTTTCTAATAGCCCACCATGTTAAAATCCTCAGATGTCTTTTATCCATTAAAACTTCTACAATAGTTAACATCAAAAGTCGACAAGTAGTCATATAGTCAACAGCTGTTACTATAGAGACAGTATGCTCCATAGTAACAAAAATGAAAAATTAATTTTTTCAAAAGATTTGAATCTACACATGAAAGTAATTAAAAAAATAATTAACAATTTAAATAAATTTAAAATTTCGAATTAATATTTTAGTCCTAAACACAGAAATCTAGCTATCCACATAATATGCATACTTATCAACAAAACAGATCAAATAAAGAAGCCTAAAAAAAACTTGAATTTTACAGAAATAATAAAAAAAAAAAAAAAAAAAAACTCAATTATTTTCATTTCCCTTTCAAGCAATAGTTATTTAACCATTTTTGATATGATAATTGTTAATCTTGATCAATTTCCTCAGGCAATGCATTAACTATTTGTATATACAAAGAGGGAGAGGAAGTGGACTATCTATCTAAAGTCATCTAGCTATTCTTAGACTGACCTAATGAATCACATTTGTCCTCATGTCTTTTCCCATACTTATGACCCTCAATTTTTCAAAAGTGTGGAGGGAGAAACAGCTTATATTAGATCAAGAGAATATGCTGAAGCTTGAAATACAAGAATATTCCGTAAGTTCCAATAAACAACAGCACCTATGCCATAAGTGTTTCAAACAACATACCTATCTTCTATAGAAATGTATTAAAAACAGTGCTAATTAAGTTAAAAAATGTTAATTAATTAAGCTTTTTAAACAAAAATTAAGCAAGCTTTTAACTATTTCAGGAAAATTAAACAGGTTTTTATCCTATCTACATCTAAAGAAAGAGAAAACAATTTCAAATGAGGCAAATATATATACTATACCAATTTATGTAAAATACTTACTGGTTTTTTTCCAACTATAGTTTGCTGTACCTTCAGGACTTGAGTGACATGATCTGATCCCATTTTAAATTCATTTGTTTTTATTCTTTCATAAATACCAACAAGCATGTCTCTATCTAAATCATGGCCATCATCAATAGCTGAAAGATAAAGTAATAAATAAAGTAAAATAACTATTGCATAAAAATAAATATGAGATTGAAATAAACAATAAATAAGTGTTTGAAACTTACATCTGAGGTTCCGAATGAATTCTTCAAGTTTCATGCGTCTGTCTGCCTTCATATTTGGCGTGTGAAGGTCTGTGTTAAGCATTATGATGGCAAATGCAAGAACAAAAACTGTGTCTGGATTATGAAATTTTGAAGCTATGTCATGGTTGCACTCAATGTAACGATGACTGAATACTTCTACGAGCCTTTCTATTTTCTGTGCTTCACCCTGGTAAAAAGAAGACAATGTTACATATTTAAAAAATAACGTATTTGGATATTTGATGCATGATTATAAGCTAAAGTAAAAATGTTTTTGACGACAATTCATACAAATTATCTATATTAAGGGAACTTTTATCGGGGCAAGGGGGGAACGCTTTTGTTTTAAAGTTATAAATTGTACCAGCTATAATTTCTTATTTACTCTTATAAAAGATTTATAATATGAAAGATATATGCATCTAAACCATTCAGTACAGATAGTTAGAGGTTTAAAAACAAAATATCTGAGAGAAAAAATTTCTACAAAAGAAATTTATAACAGCATTCATAATAAATATTACTTTCTGAATGTTTCAAATTAAAAACTGAAGATCACAAAATTAATTGGACTGAAAAAAAATCTTGAATTGACAGTTATTTATTATAATGTCCAATTGCACAATATAATTTCTTCTTAACTGGTTAGTGACTTTTGAAGGGCAATAACATTTCTCAAGAAAGGGGTTAGAAGAGTTATAATTTTAAAAAGATGACAGAAGATATTTCACTGACCACCGCAAAGGAGAAATACAAATTGATAAAATTGTATCAGATAAGAGATTGACAAAATAGTTTCTGCAAGCAAAACAAATATTATGAAAACTTTTCATTTACTTTCTTTTTTAACAGGGGCAAATTTTATTTACTGCAGTATATTTAATATAAAATTTTCTTACATTTAAAGACTTGGTATGTATAAGAAAAGTTTTTTTTTTGGGGGGGGGGGGAGGAATTTCCAATTTTTTCCTACAGTACAAGTTATTTTTCTTCAACAACAAAAACAAGAACAAAATATTCTTATACATATTTATAGCTACTTTCATTGCTTAAAAAATAGTTGTCTACACTTCTTAAAAGACAAAGAGTTTTTTATTTTTTAAATAAATAACTGCCTTAATTATGAACTTGATTAAAAATTTACTACAATGTCTGAATTATTTACCTTATGTTTAGGAGTTAAAATATTTTTAAAATATATACTTACTGGCATTCTAAAAAAAGTTTGGAATTTCCTAAGAGCAACGTCTACTTGCATGCCAGCTAAATCTAATTCTTGAACAAAGCATCTGAAAAATATTGTAAATGTAAATAAATAATAGCACAGGTTAAGTATTTTAGTACAGTAATACATAATTAATTGTACAATATGAAAAACAACTGATTTGGGATTCAAACTACTCCTTAATATTTAATATAGAAGTTATTTATTATCATAGATATCCTATCACTTATGATATTTATATACAATGAACTGTAAATCAGCTATATTAGAGGTGGATACTATATGTGCAATGTAAATGATTTACAACAATAATTTTAAAATAATTTATTACATATTAATTCCGAAATTTAAACATGAAATTTCATTTGATTTTTCTTGAGGAAAAAATTCTTTTTAGGAATATTTAAGATTTAATTTCCACTTTTCAATTGAAAATTGCTTTAAAAATATATTACCATTATTTATGTGTGTTTCAATCTTAGGTTTTAATTCTGTTATAAAGAAGATAATTTTTTTTTTATTTCATATAAAATAAAAGAGCACAGTTAAAATTTTTCAAGATCACAGAATGCTATATAGGCTAGGTTTGGTTTTTAGAATATAGCAAAGCATATGAGAGTTAACTGCCTTAATGCAAAGAATACCTTTATGGAGAACTTTCTACGGGAAACTGACTTTTATTCATGTTACATATGGGGAAAATCATTTTCACCTTGTCAATTTGAAATATTCAGATTGTTTTTTAATCAAAAGATATTTATAAATTAAGAAAATACTAGTCACTTTCAAGATGGTTATCGTGAAAGGATGACTGCTGTGAAGATATATATTTGCTGCTTGCTTTCGTTATATATTGTTTACATTATTTTAAATAACAAATAAAGGCTATAATGATAATTATTAATTCAAAATTTCAAACGTAGCTTAAAAAAATATTCAGTGAACAATCACAGCTGTTCTTGTTTGTATAAAGTCTACTTTTCATGAATACAGATAAATATTTCCTGCTTACTGATACATTTTAATCATATATTAAAACCAAAATTCTAAATTTTTTATGTGGCAGACAATCATCAGCATGAAATTTTATTTGAAAATGAATAAAATTTTAAAGAAATTCCTTTGAAAAATCCTCAATTTTTGTCGACATCTTAGCTACTTTTAAAATAAGCAGTTGAAAAAATCTAGTGATTTTTGAAAGTACAAAAATTTTATGTTTAAAGTACAGAATTAATAACCCAAGTTTTAAAGTTCAGAAAGATATATGGCTGTTAATGAAGAAATATTAAAAAAAAAAAAAAAAAAAAGAGAGAGAGGAGGGAGAGAGAGAGATGAGGAGGAGGAGGCTGATGACATTGTAGATTAAAAGTTTGCCAAGTGAAATTTACCTCAGTAAGAGGTTGGAAATTAGTGCCAAGTTGTTATAAATGCAAATATATGTAAAATAGCTTGTAAAATATTTTAAAAAAAAAAATGGTATTTATGCATAATTTGAGGCATAGAATATAAGTATGAAAAAAAATTGGCATGTCATTTCAGAAAAAGTTCAATTCTGAGTCAAGATGGGTAGGTATGCTAGAGCAATGTATAAATCTAATACATATGTCTTAAATCACACTTCCAAAACATGAGAGCAATGTAATTTAAAGCTTGTTGATCTGCCAACCAGAGCGAAAGATTTATCTCTTTTTTTTGGGGGGGGGGCTCACCATAAAATATACTGTCATTATTATTAATGACTTCTAATATTAAAGCAAGACTTACTCCAGGACAGCCATATTAAATGAATTTTGAAGGTTTCCAAGGTACTCCCCAATCATTTGCTTGCTGAGACCTTTTCTAGTCAGAAGGAACCTTGCAACTGCTTGAGGGGATGCTTCCAAGAAACCACGCTGAATTAAGTAACGAATTCCTCTCTCGGGTTTTTTATTGAATAGATTTAAACCAACTCTGTACTGCCTTTTCCTCTGAATTTCTGTAAGCTGTTGAACGATAAAATAATCATTGTTTATCATAAAAATGTATTCAGGAGGACAAAAACTGATAGTGAGAAATTATTTATATAAATACTACTAATATAATAAGTTTGCTAATCGTAACTCTTTCCATGAGAATAATAACTCATGATATTAACTAATGAAGTATAATAATATTGAAACGGCATGTATTAATTTTTTGATTATCTGATAATTATAAGTTCTTATGTTCGTATTTTTTAAACATTCTAAAACAGAATAGAGAAAAATCATTTATCAGGCAAAACAACTAAATACAAATGATAATTGGTTGTGCTTTTAAATTGAATTTATTTATTCAAATACTTAAATTCCTATGGGAATAAATATAATTATGATGAAATAACAAGCATTTTATTCGTTACTCTAATTTTATTCATTTATTCATTACTGAGATGGAAGATCAATATACAGAGTATTTACACACTTTTAGAATGATTTCAATAAAGAATTTAAAATAACCAAATGTTTTTAAATAAAAATTTCTAGCAATAGCTAATTATTGGAAATGAGAAATATTGTCTGCTATTTTTAAAATTTGTTCCCGTTTCAAAGTATTGCATGTAGAGAAACTGAGGACTAAAGGATATTTCTTTTGTGCTTTCCAAAGAGAAATAATCCTATTCCATATTTAAAAATCATCGTAAAATGCACAGTATTAAAATTTCCAAATGATAAAAAAAAAGCAACATTATTATTAATCGGAAAGGGAAAAATCATGTTCATTAATCATTACTTAAGGAAAGAAGACACCAAACGAATACCTCCAAATGATATGTACTGAACAGAAAATCCCCCGAAAGAGGTATGTACAAGAGATAAATCTGGTAATGCAGAAGTCAGTTTCAAAGTCTTTAAATACATCTGTAGCAGTCATAAATAAATATATTTTTCGTACATAAAAATATATTTATTGTACATAAAAATATATTTGTTTAATGAACAAGAGAGGGTTATTTCTGGTCATTTATTTCCTAGCAGTGATTTATAAATTTCTACTATTTTTCAATCACCCTATACAGAAAAAGCAGGAAAAATAAAATTTTTAATTAGTGCTAATTTTATGTGCTAAAGTTCATGTTCATAAAACATCATAATAGAGTTTCTCTTCAGCATAAGAGTGATACTGTGTAAAATTAATTTAGTGTGCGTTTCTTAGATTTATTATTCGGAAATAACTGTTAAAAAGATCATTTATATTTAAATACATGATTAAGTATATTTGTAAATATAGAGGTACATCAGTATAAGATTTCACTGTTCTGATTTATACAACAAATAAAGTGAATACGTGAATACAATATTGCATTGAAAATTTATAATTCAGAAAACTACAATATTTTAAATTCTTAAATAAATAAAACTGAAGTGAACTTGTTTATTAAAATTTTTTTCCCACTGGGGGGAGGGCAGAAAGATAATCCAAAATATATACAATTGCATACCTTATAAACAGTAGGAGTTCCAGGCAATTCATGAGGAGTTCGAACATCAGGATAATTATGAACATTAAAGGAATGACTCATATCTGCAGGAGCAGTATTTGAATAACCACCCCCACCATCTAGACTGTCTTCACTGTTTTCCGATATGTTGCTCAGTCGTTTATCTTCTGCGCTGACAGTCTGTTCAGCTAAGACCTGTGAGATAAATTTAAAAAAAATATTAAAAATTTCCAAGAAGTGAGAGATTTACATGTGACAAATTTTTATGCATTATAATCAAAATATATTACCAAGAAAGCATATTAACAACAAAAAATAAAATATTTGGGTATTTTTTTTATCATCGCAGAACTAAGGAAATGAGCATGGAAAAAGTGATGAAAGATGTATATATGTATATAAATTCAAACACACAAATTCTACAACAATTAATTTATCACTTGAGACTATATAAACTTTCAGTATGCAAGCAGACATATATATATACGTGTGTGCGTTAAAATTAACCGGGCAAAACTACAGGAAAAAAAATCCCATAATACCTGCACGGTTAGTTACTCAATTTATACACAGTTTGCAATAAATCAAGAATAATGATGATTTGGGAGGGGAAGGAAATGGAAAAATTCAAAATTCTGAATGATTATTATTATTCTTACACACTTACACAAAAATATGTTTTACTGTAAAAATATTTTAATTTACATTCTTTCTATTGATGTGAATTTTTATCAGACTTAAGTGCAGTAGGAACCAAAAGTTAACATGAATATTTATAAAACATTATTTACTACATATCTACTAAGCATACATCCTTAGCTTTTTTGATCTAATGCACCTTATTAGTTTGCTCAATCTATTGTTACTGTTATCTTATCAAAATTAAAGTTTTAATAAAGGATATAACTTCCATTTACACTTTCCTTGAAACTATATATCCATAAATAAGCCAACAGATGTTAGAATCAGAAATACTAAATGAAAATAACTAAAGTCTGTAATTGAGATGACAATACCCCAATTATCAATCAGCTAACAGGAAATATAGTAAGTCTGAATTAACATTTTAATATCAAAAACTGATTATTCATATCCAGTCTTTCTTTGTGCAGAAAACCTCATTCTTGAAGAAATCAAATGGCCTTTTTTCACTTCTTGGAGTCCCAAATAATTTCAATTAAAAAAGTAAATTTAATTACATGAAAAACGCATCTGCACCAGGAAAGAAGCCAAATAAAACTAATGCTGACAGGCACCAGGAAATATACAAAACAAAAAAAGCACCAAGAATAACAAGAAAAGCTACAACATTTTCCATTGAATGGAACATATTGAGATATGCTGCATGAAAATGGCATAGCTCATGTCTTCATGATGATGACACTGCCCTGAATCAATCAACCAACAGATGGCAAAATCTTCATGAATGATACAGTTTAAAGAAAAAGGTATGGTTTCAAATTAAGGAAAAATCATCACTAACAGTAAAGAAAGTTATAAAGAGGTTGTTGGAGATGAAAAGCTTTCAGCTGGCTTTTTAATTGATACAGCCGTTACAGAACTTGAACAAGAAATTATACCTCTATAAAATCAAAGAGATCTCTAAAAATCTGCATTTAGTATTAAAAATTTGTTTAAACAACTTACGTTGAAAGAAATGTTAAATAAAACAAAATAAATGCTGAAACTAAGCATTTTGTGTGTGAATGACTGTGTAAGTTTTAGTTCCCTTAAGGTCATAAATGCTTCATTATTTCCCAATCACTTTATACTTTTAATTTTATAACTTGTACATGTCATCATAGTAGATTTAACTTAATGACCTAAATCTGAGAATCACCAAATCTCAATTATTCTGGATCTCAGACTCTGTAGTGTTTACCAAACTTTATTCTTCAACACAAAACAGCAAGTCATCAATGTGGAAGTGACAGATTATAATTTTGCTGTATACAGAAGAGGGAGACTGATCATAGTAAACCTGATGATTCTATGTTCCATAATTGTTCTCTTAGTTTTACAGAATTTATTTTATTCAACCCCTTTTAGGAATATATTAAAGACACTGTTTCTTATTATTTTTATTCACAGATCTTACGATCTGAAAAAGCACATTAATTGCTATTGGAGGAACTATGACATAATACATTTTATTGCATGATGGGTAAAAAAAAACTGGTTATTGCTACATTGTTCGTGTAATTAAGGAAGCTATGCAGAACACATGTAAGTAAAACTTGACACGCTTTGTTTTTCGAGGGAAGTCATTTCGTGCAATACTTGCAATTCTACACTCATATCTTGAAAAATAAAGCCATCTAAAATTAGATCCATTGTAAACCTATTTTTATTTTCATTAGAATTCCAAGACAGAATTCAATAAAACTTACTAGTTAAACATTATGAGCTACTTTTCCATATTTCAGTCTACATATATGACCACAGAGTTAAATCCATTTTGGAAATTTAAGTATTTTTAATTGTTAAAAGACTTATATATTAGACAAGCACCTAAGATTGCATATCTAATAATTAAAAAATAATTATTTACATAATATACAGTGAAAAGCAGGCTGTTACTTATAATGTATTAGTAAAAATCAAGATGTTACTTACACAAAATACAAAAATTATAATCAAAATTACAGTTTCACTCACTAGAGATTTTCTTTTCCAGACAGGAGAGGCTTCCACTGTCTTATTTGTTGCTTTGACACTTTGTAAGGAATGCTGACTACACTCTGACACTGTATCAAAAGCATCAGTACCATCCTCCTTACTGGGAATGGAGGATGTTCGTTTAGGAACCTGAGGTGGTATTTTCTTTTGCTCAACACGTGAAGCAACTCGCCGTCCCAAAGCAACATCACTCGCTCTGGCAGCATTTCTGTGCAGGACACTACTGGGTGACTGCTTGGAAGGACTAATGTTTAGAGAATGTCTTGCAGAACAACCACGATGTATACTAGAATCTGGTTCACTGGTTTCAATTTCTACATTCAACTGCGTAATGAAAAGAAACATATATAAAAATTATTTCTGACACAATTTCACATGATGAGTAATATTATATGACCATAACAATATCAAAAAACATAAAAGGATTTAAGGACTTTAGAATTAAAAATTAAAGTTTGTTGTTACCCAAACAGAATTTTCTTGATATATACATGCACACAGAGACTTAGAATTAACAGTATCCAGGCAGATAATTTTTTTCAAGCAAATCCATTAACGAAAATGGAATGTTTAGATACATTGCCTCCAAAAGTAAGTGAAAAAAACTTATATGCTATATTAAGGAAAAGTTATAGTCTTTACACACTTTGCATTAATGAAAAAAAAAAATCAATTTTCTGGGGGAAGGAATATAAGAAAGACAAAAGTTTTCAGAAAAATAAATATTAATATAGGATAACATCCATTCAGGTGTAAATAAATGCTTGGCACTGATATCATGCCAATTCATGACACACATATTGTTATTATAAATGGATAGAAAGATTTACGTTTTGTAAAATTATGGAATAAAATTTTATTTTAAAGCCTTTTGGAAAGTATTAAAAGATTCAATCACATAGAGGACTTCTGTGGCTGCTTAAAGATATTTTAATCAAAATAAGAAAATATATTGTCACCTATTCATATGCAACATTGCACATGGTATCGCATTTATGTTAATTTTCATTTTCTGACAATTAAGGTTTAATCAAAATCGTAAAAAACAACCTTATATTTAGCGTAGGTATAATGAAACACTCAATCGATTTCGAGGGCAGCTAAAGGTCCCTCCTCATCAGGAGAAAGAATACATAGAAGAAGAGAAATAGGAATCACAGAAACACGTGGTGCTTATCAGCACTGCACGTGGTTATAACTAGATTTTTAATCAGAGTTTGCACTGGCCGCCTACTTTTACTGAGCCAGGCTGTCTGATCAAGCATAAAGAAATATTAGGCGAAGTTAAATAGGGAGCGAGGGGCAAATGCACATTACGCTCAAAATCTGAACTTCAAATAATGGAAAGCAACCACTGAACGGATTTTTTATAACCCTCTGGTAGTACCAAGTGCGAGGAGGTAACGCCATCTATCGGCAAAAATAATTGAATTAAGACAAATATTGAATTATATTAAAAGTATTAAAATATAATTTCAACTTTTCAAAGACATCTAAACCTTCAATTCCTCAAATCATCGCCCCTATAGAGAAAGCCTTTAAATTCTCCAAAATTTCGGAAACGCAGAAGGATACAATTCGCCACCTAATTACTCATAACGTTAATTTTAACAATAAATCTTTGGGTTCTAATCTTAGCAAAAAGGAAAATGAGATCTTACGTGAAATTCATTCTGATACTAAAATCATTATCTCTAAAGCTGATAAGGGCGGACAGATCGTTGTTATGGACAAACACACATATATTACTGGAGTCTCTAAATTGATAAATGAAGGCCCATACTGCTCGAACTTCGGACCTCATGAAAGTAAAAAGTGCTATTAAATCTTCCCACATTCTGCCAACTCAGTTGAAGAAATCACTTATTCCGCCTATTACTAATTCGCTAGACTTATGCTCTTCCAAAAGTCCACAAAACCGGTATTCCTTTCGACCAATTGTTTCCAACATAGGTACTGCTTCATATCCTTTGGCCAAATATTTAGTTTCCAGATTTTCTCCTCTACTGATAACAATATTCACACTGTAAAAAATTCTGTTGAAGTCATTGATAAACTTAAAAATATTTCCCCACTTCGTTCCATTATGTTTCATTTTGATGTCAAATCATTGTTTACTAATGTTCCGGTCGAAGGAGCACTAAATTGTCTTGAAACTAGGCTTCGGGAATTTCACTTCACACATACTGAAATTAATGAGTTGGTTTCGCTTACTAAAGTTTCTCTAAGTCAAACCCACTTCGTTTTCCAAAATGCATTTTTTTTCGTCAAGTTGAAGGATTGGCTATGGGTAATCCTCTCAGTCCGGTACTTGCTGACATTTATATGCACTATTTTGAGATGAAATTATTGTGATAAATTATCTTTTCGTCTTTGGATTCGGTATGTTGACGACACTTTCGCACTTTTTGACGGTTATAAAGAGGATTTATCCGAGATTCTATCTATTATGAATGAATTCAATTGATCCAGCCATCCAATTCACTCTTGAAATTGAATCCAACAATTCCCTCCCCTTCCTCGATATTCTTATAATCCGCAATGAAACCGATTTTAGCACCACTGTGTACCGTAAACCCTTTGCAGTTTGTTTACCACCCCATGCCAAGTCATGCCACCTGTTAAGCAAAAAATGGCTTCTTTTACTATTATGTTTTCCGCGCGCTAAAAGTTTGTTCCTCTGAATCTTTGCTTACCAATGAACTTCATTATTTGAGAGCAGTTGCGATTGACCGTGGATTTTCTCCCGTGATTATTGATAAAGCCGTCAAAAAATTTTCAGATTCCCATCAAAGAAGACATTCTACTGTTAGAAATAATATCAATGACCTTGTCGTGCTTCCATTTTATCCTTCTGTTAGCTATAAAATTGGCACGGATTCTCCAGAAATTCAATTTTCAAGTCGGTTTCTCCCCTATTAATAAAATTCACCCTTCGATTCTAAAAGATTGCGTTTCTGTCTTGAATTCTTGGGGAATTTATAGTATATCATGTCAGTGTGGTTTAAGATATATTGGCCAAACAAAAAGAGCGTTGAAGTTTCGTATCAAGGAACATGAATCTTATGTCAAAAAAGGGGAAATTAACAAGTCTTCAATAGCGTATCATAGCTGGACTTTTAAACCATAATTTTGATTTTGGGTCTGCAAAAATCATCCAAAAAGGCTTCTTCCATAGGCGAATTGGATTTTCTTGAGGCTTTTCACATTCACAAAAGATTTAGAAAGTTTAGTTAATGATTGTGAAGTCCAATCCAGTCCTTCCTAATGCCTTTAAAATTCTACTGTCTTAATTCAATTATTTTTGCCGATAGATGGCGTTACCTCCTCGCACTTGGTACTACCAGAGGGTATAAAAATCCGTTCAGTGGTTGCTTTCCATTATTTGAAGCTCAGATTTTGAGCGTAATGTGCATTTGCCCCTCGCTCCCTATTTTAACTTCGCTAATATTTCTTTATGCTTGATCAGACAGCCTGGCTCAGTAAAAGTAGGCGGCCAGTGCAACTCTGATTAAAAATCTAGTTATAAACCACGTGCAGTGCTGATAAGCACCACGTGTTTTCTCTGTGATTCCTATTTTCTTCTTTCTATGTATTTCTTTCTCCTGATGAGGAGGGACCTTTAGCTGCCCTCGAAATCGATTGTTTCATTATACCTACGCTAAATATAAGGTTGTTTTTTACGATTTTGATTGTCACATTAGCGTGTTTCTCTTCTAGTCTAATTAAGGTTTAGTTTGGTTCCCAGCAAAACATGCAAGAGATATATGCAAGGAGAGGAATGCCTTAGTGCGGACTTTTTTAAGAAGATTGGCTCATATCCATGTCATACAGGGAAAGAATAAATAAAAGCCTCCGCTGCTAATGGGCACTTAAGAGGAACTTGTTAAAACATACATACAAAATTGCTTCCCGTTTTGCAAATAACCAATTTTACTGAATTATTCAGGGGGGGGGGGAGTTTTAGTTTATTCTGAATAAAATGTTTTAATAAAATATGAACTTTTTCCAGCATGTTCCCCCTACACATATACTCCTTTAAAATAAAAAACTGTTAATATGAAATGGTACTAAACTTACAACACTGTCTTCAGAAGACATTGAATCCCTTCCTGGCTGGAAACCGTCTGGAATTTGAATTTTCGTACTATTTAGACTAGAATTAACATATACAGAAGATGCTTGATTTGACGAACTATGAGTCCTTTGAGTATTAGCATTAGGTACTGCTGTCCATGCTGGATGCCTAGGAAATGAAGGAGGGGATAAAGTTGCACATGACTGGTATGCATCTTGATAATATGCACTGTTCAAATGAGAAACTTGTTTATTTGCATAATGTTCATAACCATTGGAATCTTTGTTAGTATATTCAGGATGATATGGTCCTTTTGCATGAGTTTCTTGGTACTTCATACGCCTCTCACGGAAACTCTGAGTACGACAGGGTTTGCTACACCGGGAACTATCTTCAGAGTCTAGTGTCTCGTTTAATTCTCTATATAATGTTTGGTAATGAGACTGAGTAATGGCATCTGTGCCAATGCCACAATGGAAGTTGTTACACATTTTGATATCCCCGTCGTAGCAGGTCTGATGCTGTTGAAAATGAGGATATCGAGAAACTGTACCGTTGGCATTATACACTACCCATTCTTTATTTTCTATATCAAAAGCTGGAAAGCGCCTGGACAGGCGTTTTTCTCCTTTGGAAGCATTGGCAATATCTTGGAAGCGTTTCATGATTGTGTATTTCCGAAAAGCTCTTTGAATCGTCAAAGCTGCTTTGCGAGCACAGACGCCGCCATACTTCCTTTCAAGCATTTCTACCTGCTTGTCAAGCAAATCCTGAGAAAGCTCATACCTGAAAAAATATTAGTATTGAAAAAACTTGGCATGATACATAATAAAAATCTTGATTTTTTAAGTAATATTTTTACACATATGTATATCACACAATTATATCAAATATATATAGTAATTGTCAATTCCTTATAATGAATTTTAAAAAAATGAATGTATGTTACATCAAGAATCCATTTTCTTATATCCACCTCAGATGAATTGGCAATTACATTCATTCAGAAAGTACAATTAATCATGCAGTTAAATAAAAGGTAAATTATTAATTAGTAAGATTAAAGAAGCAACATATTTTCATGATGCTTTAAAACTAAATTGTATTTTTTGGTAACATTAGCACATTTTTTACTGCCAGTACAGTTAAATGTTGACTAGTATGGTAACCATTACTGCAATTTAAGCTTTTTTATTTATATTAACTCATAATTTTTCACATGATTAAAAAAATTATTATTATTTAACATGGTGAAGAAAATATGTTTTCTTTGTGGCAACAGGTTAAATGTTACATATTTTTACTGTGTTTCATAATTGTTGACTCTTCAATTGTTAACTTCACTATAACTATTGCACCTTACTTGGGCGGGGGGTCTTTTTAAATCTAATCTTATTAAAAGAACCAACCATATATATATACATATGAAATTACTACTACTATTAGAACTTTTAATTATACATGCAGATTGTTTTAGAGGAAAAAAGAGAGAGAGAAAGAAAGAAGACGACATATTTTTTATTTGTAAGATCACTGTAATAAAGTTTTTTATTAATGAGAAAATGATAGACTGCAAAACATTGGAAAAGTGAGCTAATGTTGGATAAGAAGAAAAATATTAAATTTGAAATACATACAGTACACTTCATAAAACTCAATTAATTTGAATCAAAGAAGCAATAATCAAACATACCTTTAATAACATTAAAGATGTGCTTTTTGCTTGATTATTACTTTAAGTATAACATAAAAATCTAATACAAAGAAAACACTTTAAATATAACTTAATCAAATATTATAAAGTATATAGATTCGTACTGGCTATTGTGAAGTCGTGACCTTTTAAGAGCATCATCGTCCACTCTTCGCACTGGTGTCTTTTTACAAGAGACATTCCCACTAACAGATCGCTGCCTTGCTCGGCCCAAATGAGATGACCCAACATTGCAATTGTTGTTCTCAACTGAATATGAACGCAGTTGTTTCAGTGGTGGACCAGGCCCACATGATGCCCTTTCCACTGGCTTCAGAGGAGAACTAAAATAAATAAATAAAACAACCACATTAGCAAAAACAAAATTTTATATGAAAAAATATACAAACAGATACTTTATCTTTTAAAGGGAAGAGATCGGACTAAATGAAATGCTTTATTTATGACCTTGTAAATATTTTGCTTGAATGTTGCAAGTATCAGATCCATATTTTTACATTCATTTTACAAAATTTATTTATGATTTTTTTAACCAATTTAAAAAACAAGTCATCTTTTAAATGATTTTGCACAAAGAATGGTTTCTTATTAGCAGCAAAAGCCAAAATATTATGCCAGATAATTTGCCTGGCAATAAAATATGCTCTTCATATAATTATGTGTTTGAAATACACACATTTCATCATCTGAAATGTGTTAATTATTATCACTGTGATAGCTAAAGAGGTTGAACCATTGCAAAAAACCAATTACATATAATTACCACCAAAACTGGCAGTAAACAGTACAATACTGACAATGTTACAAATGCATTTTTCTTGCAGAAATCATTCATCAACACTCTATTACTCTACTTTTGACTTTCTTTTTTAACTATACAACGTTAATTTTTATTTACAGGTGCTATTTTAATTTCCGGTAACAAAACAGGAGGAATTACATTTACTGCAAATTTCCATGACTGAGCTAAGAACTTTTGTAAAGCTAAATTATGGATATCAGCTTATGTATGCAGCTGCTTACCTTACAAAAAACATGGGAACTTTTCTGTTAGCTGGGCACAAATAATAAATAGCATTTTTTTTTTTTTTTTTTAATTTTTAATAATAGCATTCAATTTTGTTTTCTAAACCTGAAGAATTTCTTCAGACACTCATTGTTAAATTAATAGGTAATAGTGTCATGCTAGTGTGTTAATTGATAAGTGATCATAGAAGGTCATACATTTTATGTAAGCTACTGTCATATAAAAGTCTTCAGCTTTAAATATGAATTAAAAGCCAATTAAAGAAGAAATTTTATAATATTATTTATTTGGAGGGGCAGTAATAAATGAATCAAAATATATATTTTATAAAATTTATTTAGGTAAGTCTTGATAATAAGTATCGGTACTCTTCTGTTTTGAGGGCCGTAAAAAAATTGCAGCGAAAATGTATGCGCAAAAGCGCCAAATCTAGCGAACGCGCCCATTTAACAGCGCGCTAAATCTAGCGTAAGCGCCGGTTTCAGATTGCATAAGTTTATATAGTTCTGCAGGCATCCATTCAGTTATGTTTAACAATTTTTATATAAATTATAATAATGATCTGAAATAGTTATTTACTCTTATGCTTCCATTCCGTCATGCTTAGCCCTTTTTCATATAAATTATAATAATAAAAAGTATTATATGAAATTAACCTTTCATCTAACTTAAAACATCAATCTTAGATAGTTATTTACTATTATACTTCCTTTCTTGCCGCAATTATTTTTGGCAGCATTGGCATCAACAATAGTTTGGCGATTTTTTACGGCCCTCGAAACTGAATAGTACGTAAGTATCTTTGCAATCTTGAAGCATTAGATCAAGAAATTATTTATGGTGACATCTCTCAAATTAGATATAGACCCTGGATTCGAGAGCTCGAAACTCCTAATATAAGTGACATGCCAAAGGACCCTATTCCTACTAAAATATTAACTGAATCACATGTCACTGTAAAACTCTTTCCAGGTCAAAGAAAAGAACTTAAAGGAGGTTTAATTGTCATGAAAATTAAAGCAATGCAAGACATTAATGGGAAAAGTTCCTGGAAGTCAGAAAAGAAGAAATTTAAACTCTAATTTTACTCCTTGCAACCCAGGTTATGAAAGAAACACAGTTTGATTTGAGAGGTTGGAAACATAGTTGTTTAGAAACTTCTGTACTTGAAATCAACAAGTCGAATGTTTTGGGACTATTATGGGATATAGAAGCTGATCTCTAGAGATTAGTCCAGAAGACTTGGAATTTAAAGAAGTGGTGACTAAGAGAAAAATCCTGTCAGTTCTTAACTGAGTTTTAGTAGTTTAATTTAGTGAATAACTACACCCAGCAGTTCTGAGAACCTGATGATAAAAAATTTTCAGTCATAGTATATGAAGAAAAGAAAAGTTTTGCTTCACTGTTTTCAAGTAAATACACTAACTTTAAATAAGTAGAAATATAACCTTTTTAAAAATTATGTAACATACAGTAAAACTGTGACTGTAAACCTGTTTGATGTTCTGAGGTTCAGTAACTCCCATGGTCAGGCATGCTTTAAAATGATTTTTAAAAAGCAAATATAATGTAAAAAAGTTAAATCAATTGAATTAAAAAATTCTTTACCCAATAAAAAATCACATTTATACCTTTAAAAGCATAAAAATGCCTTTTTTAACCAGCAGCAAGTTTGAAATAAAACTCATTAAAATTGTATACCTTTTTCTCAATAATGATCTTTTGAAAATAAAAACGAAAAAATGATAATGCTATCTAATTATCAAATACAGTCAAAAGTTGTTAATTCGGACACCAATAATCCGGAATGATCTATAATCCGGACATCAAAGCTACAAACTTTCTGCGCATGCGTCGCGTTGACGCATGAGCATAGGCGTTTACGCGTGCGCGTAAGATCTTTAGGGCTGCGAATATGCATGTGCGCAAGCGCATAATACGTTTACGCATGCGCGTTTAAAGTATAACGGTCGGTATAAACTAAGCTAAAATTATTTAATTCAGTTAATGTTGCAGATTGCGTTGTTCCTTAATCTTCGAATTGGATCCGGCTTATTATTTTTTGCAGACTGTTAGAGCAGTTTTATAAAAGTAAGCTTGAACTTTCGATTATATCAAATAGAATTTCGGATATATATTTACTAATATGTAAATGATCTATAGAGCGAAAGTATGTTTTGAAATCCGAAATCTGTTTATCAATTTCACCCTGCTCTGCGGCAGTGGGAGGAGGGGGAGAAACGCTGCGGCGAGCAATGAATTGGAAGTTGATCTGTCAGCACTATCCTTATCTTCAGGGCAGATGTTTTTATTTTATTTGGCTTATAATTCCTTACTAAATGTACTATTTCATCTCGATGTACTCCGTTTTGGTATGATTTAAATCAAGTTCCTCGTCATTATAATTCGCTTCCGATAGTGAAGAAAGTGACAGAAAGGTTATCGAAAACGAAAACATTTCGATTAATAAATTAGTCGGTATTCTCGACACAGCAATTATAGGACTTGAACAGCGGAACTTTGTAACTAAACAAGAAATTATGTCTGTTTAATAGAATTAAAGAGAAAGTATTATCACATGAAACGAAGCAACTTAAACAACTTACATTGAAAGAAATGTTTAATAAAGTAAACAAATAAATATTAAGCTTTTTCTTTTTGTAAATTTTGATACCCTGTAGATCATAATTGTTCTTTATTTCATAAATTACGGTTTCATATTTTTAATTTTGTAATTTCTGCATGCCATCTTACCAGATTTAAACTGATGATCTATAGTCCGGAAAAATCGATAATCCGGAATCGCCGAAGTCCCGACGAGTCCGGATTAACGACTTTTGACTGTATATTCCTTTTGTGGGGGAAGGGAGGGGTATATAAATGAAAAACTAACACTTTTACGTTATCAAAAGTATTACAAATGCTTGCATGTTCATACACTGAAAATTTTGGGAACATAACTGAAGTTAGGAAAATTGGTAGGTTCCCATCAATTTAGAGCTTATGCATCCCATTTCTTTTCATAAAGATGAAAATTTAAAGGTACAGTCCGTTTCGAAGCAAAATAAATATTTTATTAATAAGAAATGCTGTGGCAGTAAATAGCCTTGTACACATTAACTAGTCACTACCTAATAACAAAGACATGCAGGCATATTATGTAATAATACTACAGCAACCGTATATCAAATGAAGCATAAACAGAAATTAAACATACTAAAAAGTCCCCTTTAAGGCCAAGATTAAGTTTTGGGAAAATAACAAGCGAGTCACCCACAATGATTCTCAAGCATGAAGGTGATTTTAAGCAATACCCAGTTAGCTCCCGCGTTACGAAAAAAAAGAGGTAAAATACATCACGAGAAAGGCTGAGCAAGCGTCGTACAATATTGCGTAAGTTGTTTTTTCACTTCATGCCGTTTGCAAGCAGCGACTATGACGTCAGGTACGCCAGATGGATAGTATTTTATTCCATTTTAAAACCGAACGGTTGAAGGAAGTAGACCACCATGCAAGGTTTTTTGAGACTGTTAAAAATATTCTCATCATGTTATGAAATCTACTAACATAAAGAAAAGTATTTGTCGCGCTATTTATAAAAGTTAATTCACTAAATTGTAATGGACATAAACGGAAAAAGTAAGTCAGTTAGTGTTCTACGTTATATACATTTTCATATTTTATTTTAATTTCTCAATATTCAAAATTTTTACGGTAATTCAAAATATACGCCCAAAGGGGCTTTTTTATATGCTTAGTGTGTTACCTTTATTTATTAAATATCGTATTCTTGCGCGCTAGAAATAAAATAATAATAATAATAAAAAAAAGTTATTCCTCCCGTACAGGGTTCCTCGCTTTGAAATCGTTGAGTTTGTTAATCAAACATTAAAGAATGTTTGACAAAATATGCAATAGCTAATAAAACAAATTCCAAATTAGGGCTTCCAGATGCCCATATTCGGTGGAAGATTACGTTTTTCAAAATTTCATGGCTCTAGGTACCGTTGTTTTATCACAATGTGAGGAACATAACACACATTTCTGTAGATTCATTATTTAATTTCTTTACATTACATACAGGGCTGTAATATTTGTTGACCTCATACAACTTAATTGTTTTCACAAAACCTTGACTCCTCTTTCCACGGCCGCATTATCTTCGCCTTCGGGTGGGTGCGTTCGATTTATTTATTTTATTTACATACGCAATTGGCTCATATGCAAAACGAACTGGTTAAAATCCTAATGTGATTGTGTACCAGTATACCAGAGACTATTAGGATTTGTTGGCAA